GGATGCCGTCCGGGGGGTGGGTGTCCAGGCCTCCCCGGTACAAGAAGAGGGATAATGAAATCCCGGCTTGAGTCATTTGTCCCTCCCACGGGGACAGCCACGGGCCTCCCGTCTGTTCACCTGAGTCTTCCTTCTTCTAACTTTTCATCCTGAACGTTGTGCAACCCTCACCAAAGGAGAAGGGATCTTGTAATGAACCCCGCACCCAACACCCACGGCTTCTGCCTATCAACCTTCTGCCATTTCTGCTATAGTTATCCCCTTACCAAAAGTGGCCTTTAACCTGCAATAGTATTTTAAACCCAATCCAAGTCATTTTAGTTAACCTGAGAATACTTTGGTCTGTATCTTTAACAAAAAAACAAAAAACATGACCACAAAACACACGGTTCATGGCAGTATACCGTAGTGACTGACCCTAGTCGATTTTCCAGTTTTCCCGTCTAACTTGAAAGGTCTCCCAACCAAATTGCTTCCTTTGCATTGGGATCCAAACAGAGTTGACCCTGCATTTAACCGATGTGTCTGTTAGGTCTCCCTTTAAAAAAAAATATCTTTAAGGGGCACGTGGCTGGCTGGGTTGGTGGGTCATAGGACTCGACCTCTGAGTTGTGAGTTCGAGCCCTACCGTGGGCGTAGATATGACTTTTAAAAAAAAATCTTTAAAAATGGATATATCTTTATTTTTTAGGAACAGTTTTAGATTTATAGAAAAATTGAAAGGATGGCACAGAATCCCCTCACAGCCTGCGGGCAGATCCCCCTGTTGTGAACGTCCTACATTCTCATAACGCATTTGTTACGTCATCGAACCAGGATGGCTAGATTATAAGTAGCTCAGAGTCCATGCTTTCTTTCGATATCCTTGGTTTTTACCCAACGTCCCTTTGTGTCCGAGGATCCCATCCAGAACAGCACACTGGCTCGAGCTGTCCTCAATCTGGGGCACGCTCTCTGCCTCTCCTCGGCGGCGCCCCTGGGCAGCTTGCTGGAACCCGGATCAGGGACCCTGTAGGACACCCGTCAGCTTCGATGGGTCTGACGTTCTTCTTGTGTGGGTTTGAGGCAGAAGACACGTCGAGGGCACAGGCTCTTAGCCTGATTCAAGCTGCTGTCATTTGAACGGCTCTTCCCTCTGTTACTGCTTCTTGTGTCCCCCACAGCTTCCGTGGCTTCTGTCCCGGGGCGAGTCTGCGTCCGCAACCGGCAGGTGCCCCACCCCGGGCTCCGAGCTGCAACGTGACCCCTGTAGCAGTGGCTCGGGGCTGCCCGGACAGGGCCACACTGTGCAGCTCCAACAACAGGAATTTACTAGAAATCTGAGACCACGGTGTAGGCAGGGGTGTTTCTTCCGAGGCCCCTCTCCTTGCTGTGCACGCGTGTTGTCACGGGGCCCTCCCTTTGTGCGTGTCTGTGTCCTAATAGCCTCTTCTTATAAGGATCCAGGTCTCATTGGGTGAGGGCCCACCCTAGTGACCTGATTTTACTTTACTTACCTCTCTGAAGACCCTGTTGTTCACTCCAGTCACATCCTAAGGTTCTGGGGATTGGGGCTTCAAGGTAGGAATTCGGGGAGAACACAATTCATCCCCACCCCACCCCCAGAGCTCCTGTGTCTTTGCCACGTGAAGTGGGCCAAAGTGTCCTGTGTGCCCACAATGTGCCCACAGGGCAGAGAGCAAGTTTGCCAGTGTGTGGTTAAAAGGCCTAGGGTAGGCCCTTCCCTGATTTCCACCTCTCCTGCCCCGGCCAGTTTTCAGGACGGACTGGTTCTTCCTTCTGAGCGATGCCAGTCCTGCGTGGGCATGAGGTTTTCCCAAGGATGGCAGGTCTCCAGGCACCTCCCAGAGACCCACATGGCTAGGCGCTGTGACAGGAGCATCCTTAGGTGTTCCAACCCCTGGGTACCTGGTGTGTGCTAGCCCCGTGCAAAGGCCTTTCCAGGTTAAGGTGTCCAATCCTGTCTTGGCCCCATTTGACAGCTGACAAAACTGAGGCACAGAGAGTTTCAGCGGTGTGAGCACTGGTGCCTCTTCCTTCCAAAACAGCTCCTTCCTCACACCCTTTCCAGGGGAGCTGGTACCATCTCAAAGGCCCAATACCTTCTTCTAGAAAGCCTAGGGCCCTTCCTTTTTCCTCCATTTGAACAAATTGTGAAAAACTGCCACCCAGTTCCAGACCAACATGTACGATATGCAACAGGACGAGCAAAACAGAGCATACCTGTAAAGTGGAATGCTATGGGGCCATAAAAAGGAATGAAATCCTGATTCCTGGTACAACCTGGGGAATGTCGTGATGAGTGAACGAAAGTGGATGCGAGAGGTCATGTGTCGTACAATTCCGTTTGTATGGAAAGTCTAGGAAAGGCAAATCCGTAGAGACAGATTAACAGGTGCCTAGGTTGGGGTGGAGGGATGGGGAGGCTTTCTTTGGAGGCGATGACCATGTTCTAAAATTAGATCATGGTGATGGTTGTATAACTTCGTGACTTTGTGACTTTTCTAAAGACCACCCAACTGGACACTTGGAAGACATGAACTTAGTGATATGTAAATCATATGCCAGTAAAGCTCTTTTTTTTAAAAGGAAGGTTTTTGTTTGTTTGTTTTGTTTTGTTTTGTTTTTTTTAGAAAGAAAGGGGAGTGGACTGAGGGAGAGGGAGAGAGAGAATCCCAAGCTGAGTTCCCACTGAGCATGGAGCCCAACTCTGGGCTCAGTCGCAGAGCCCTGAGATCATGACCTGAGCTGGAGTCAAGAGTTGGATGCTTAACTAACTGTGCCATCCAGGTGCCCCTAAAAAAGGAGTTTTAATTATAAGACCGTTACCAATGGGCCTTCTAACTGGGTACAAATGTGTCCCACCACCTCCCTCCACTGCCGCGAGGGGCAATCGCCCTCTTTTCTGTGGCACGTACACTTCCTTCTGGTGTTCACAGTCTTTCCACTTGTGTGTGTAAGTGTTTTTTGTTTTTTATTTTTATTTTCATTTTTTAAGTAGACTCCACACCCCATATGGGGCTTGAACTCAGGACCCTGAGATCAAGAGTCACATGTTCCACCGACTGAGCCAGCCAGGTGCCCTGTTTTATTATTATTATTTTTTTTAAACCCAGCTCTTTTTTTTTTTTTAACCCTTCCATTTTAAAATAGCTTAATGGAGGTATAATTCAAGTACCATACAATTCATCCCCCAAAGTGTGCCGTTCTGTCCTCGTTGGTCTGTTCATAGAGTCGCGCACTTGTCATCACAGTCCATGGGAGGACATTTTGCCACTTCTAAAAGAGATTGTGTACCTTTTAGCTATCACAGCCCCCCGGCAACTGCCCATCTACTTTCTGTCCCTATGGCTTTGCCTGTCTGGACATTTCACACAAACAGAATCGTTTGCTCTGCGGTCTCTCGTGTCTGGCTTCATTCCCTGGGCACCCTGTTTTCAAGGCTGATGCGGAAGTGTGCCTCAGTACCTCCTTCCATTTTATGGCCCCATAATACTCCGTTGTCTGGATAGACCAGCTCTGTTCATCCGCCTGTCAGCTGATGGCCATATTTGTACCGTCTCTACCTGTACAAACCCCGTTAGGGCAATGACCTAAGGATAAAAGGATGATTCCTTGCAGGACACGTTGGGGTCAATGCTCTATGAGAATATGGGATGTCAGTAGGAATCGTGACCATTTAGCAGGTGCTCAAGGCACTTCACATGAATATGGCACTTATTGCTCAGAAAACCAGATGGGGCAGTACAAGTGTACATACGTATCTCTCAGCTGGAGCTCTGCTCTGAGTCTTATAATTAAAACTCCTTTTTTAGGAGTTCTGTGTTTTTAGTATCGTATGTGGGTATCTGTGTAACTCACTCACACACACACACACACACACACACACACACACACACACAGCTACCTAGCTAGCAGGAAGAGGCCGACCTGGGATTTGAACCCAGCACCTAGACTCCCAGCTGCACGTGCTCTCAGCCAAGCCACAGAGCTGGGGTGGAGGTTATTTGAGTCCCCTCTCTCCTGGCTGCTGATTCAATCCTGTTCCTTTTCCCCGTGTCCTGGGGCAGTGATCCAACCATGAAGTCTGGTTCCAAATGCTATAGGCAGTTCACTCCAAGACATTGCCCACGTGAGTCAGAGCGCCTATAGGTACAAGGCTCCGCTCGTCATTCCCATTTGCCCTAATAGCGCAGGTTGGAACAACCGAGGTGTCCAGCGGGAGGGGATCGCTTAAACCCCTTTATGGAGAATGAGGCAGCTCTGTACGGGCTGAGGTTGAGTAATCACTAAGACAAGAGTGTCACAGGAGAAAAACTGCAAAACAGGGCCCATTTGCTGTTGCTGGTGGGAAGACACTGACCGGGCTCCTCGAAAGGATGCCGCCGAAGTGAGTGGTGACAACATGTGCCTCTGGACGGTGGTCTGCATGTCAGGGAGGGAGATAGGAAACTTGCCTTTCACTGAATTCCCATTTGCAGCTCTGAGTTTCATACCATGTGTGCAGAGTGTTACTTATTCCTCCAAACTAGTCGAACAAGACTGATTCCTCTGTTCATAGTCCTCCAGAATCACCCGGAGAGCCCACGAAGCCCTCCGACAGGCCAGGTTCTTACAGACGGGTGGGGCACGGGGCTCTAGCATGTCCACGTACCTGGGAGATGGGATACAGCTCGTGTGTGAGAACCACCATCGTCTTCATCCTTGTCCCTCGTCCCCAACACCCATGCTCTGGGTGGAACTGTTTAAAAAATGAGAAATCAGGCAGAGAGAAGCGGAGTCCTTGACCTTGTCATGAGCAGGAGGGCTCTCGGAGAAATCAGGAGTGGAGCAAAGCCACTTCGTGGGGACCTCCCAGCTCCCAGTCGACCGAGCTCACGACAGCACCCGGGCTGCCAGCCGACTCCGTTTTCCCATTGACGGGTCAACCCCCGGGCCCGGCTGGACGAGATGGGGGCGTTGTCCCAGTCGGTGTAGTGACCGTTCTCTTGTTTCTGCAGTTCCTGACCAGGCTGACCGAGCGGTTCGTGCTGGGGGTGGACATGTTTGTCGAAACGTTGTGGAATTTTTGGACAGACCTCTTGGATGTTCTTGGACTTGATGGTAAGTGGGGCTGGGGGGGGCATTCATTTAAGGCTGTTTTTTTCTAGTGGTTCTCAAGATGTGGACTCAGTATCCGCAGTGGGTGGCATGGGGGACCCCTTGGAGGAGGCAGGGGGACACAAGAGAACATTTTTTCTTGGAATAGTCGTGTAAAGAAATGGCCCATCCAGACTGAGGTGCACGGATGCTGTTTGGGGTGAGGTACGAGTGGGTGTTGCTGATTCGGCCGCGCCCAGGCAAGCCGCAGGGACCAGAGGCAGGGCCCCTGGGCTGTGGGAATACATCACAGACTACGATAGCTATTTAGGCAGAAAGGGATTTCATACAAAGCTTGGGTCGCTTGCAGAGTTTTCAGAAGGAGCGGGGTGTGGCCCCCAGAACCCGGCCAAACTGGCCTGCCTGGGGAGTTGCTGCTCTGCCCCAGGAAATCAGGAGGCTGCCTCTGGAATTGGATTCAAGGTCATGGGCCCCAGTCCGGGCTGCCACCTCTCTTGCCAGGAAGTCTCCAGTAGCCTGTGTTGAGGTCCCCAGGATCAGCCCCAGGCACAGTGAGCCACTAGGAAGACCCAGGACTCAGCACTGTAGTCATGCTCCTGGCTGTGACTTCTTATAGTGTAAGGACACAGAGCACCCTCAGCAAGGGGGACAGCTCGCTCTCGTTCCTCCAGCAGCAGTTTGTGGTGACGGCTGTCACGTGTCGAGTAGCCGGAAGCCTGTTAGAGACCCAGCGCACGGGGTGTTTCTTAGGGGCTGGTCACTTAGGCACCTTCTGCCTGGCACGGACCCAGACTCGACTCCCCGCAGGCGAGCAGGCGGTCGGCATAAATCATGATTCGTACAGACAGTCCAGGCACAGGGAGGCCCCCTTATAAGGGAATGGAGAGAGCCCTCCGCCGTACATGTGTTTTTCCCACGCCACCAAGCAGTTGACTCAGTCCTCCATGGACACTGACCAGGCGTCCCGCATATTTAGCTGAACTCTGACCCTGTCTTTCTGGAGATAGTGTCAGAGCGAACCCACAGGGCAAGGGCTCGTCCCACAGGACGCCCCTTCCTTTCCAGATGCCGGTCACAAGCCCACCTGTCCTTCCGGCAGACTAGCTGTAGATAGAACATTCCCACACGACCCCGGCTGGGTCTGACTGATCAGCTAGAGCGGCTCACAGAACTCCAGAAACCCATTTACTTAACTAGGTGACCAGTTGGTTACAGACGGATGTAACCCGGGAACAGCCGGACGGCAGAGACGAGCAGTCGAGGTCTGTGGGAAGGGCTAGGGAGCCTTAACATTTTCCGAGCGTCCCAGCCCAGAACCTCCCCAGACCCGGTCCCGTCAGGTTTGTATGGAGACTCTGTGACACAGGCGTGACTGAGTAAATCCTTGGCTGGCGCTGACTGGTTTGACCTCCAGCCGCTCTCCCCTCCCTGGATATCAGGGCACGGGACAGAAATCCCAGCCCTCTCCCTGCCGTTGGTTCTCCCAGCACCCAGCCTCCGTCCTTAGGGTCTTTCCAAAAGTCTCCGCATTGGAATACGGCTCAAAGGGGCGTCTTACGAATTATCAAGACACCTTTACTGCTCTCATTCCTTAGAAAACTCCGAAGGTTTTAGGAGCTCTGTGCCGGGCATGCGGACAAAGACCAAATATGCATACTTTGTACTATAAATCACCATATCACACTCCAAAATCCAAGTTCCCAAACACTAGCCAAGGGCCCGTCCTCCCTGCACACTTCTCTAGAGAGCAGCCTCCGGCCTTCCGTGGGAACCATTCCGCACACCTCCTAAGTCAGCGTCCTCTCTCGGCCCCTGTGGCTCCTTCTCAGCCGGTCAGCCAGCGTGGTTTTTGTTCTTATTACTACTTTTGCTGCATTGAGTGACTTCTTAAAAAAAAAACAAAAAAAAACAAAAAACATTAGTCAGGTCAAGTACTTCACCTTCAAACTGCCCAGGGTCTCCTGTTGCACTTGGATCCCACACAGGGTTCCCACCGAGGGTAGTCGGCTCCGAGGATCTGCCCAACCTCTCTACCCATCCCCTGGCCTCCATCCTGTTCTTGGACACAGCTTTGGTTCCTCTAGGTGTCCCCTGCCAGAAGCAGTCCCAAAGCCCTTTGCCTGGTGGGTCTTTTCCATCCTCTACTCTCAGGTATATGACACCTCCTCCAAGAAGCCCATCCTGACTAACCCATGTACAGGGACCCGGTCTGTTATCACAACCACCATCACTTGTCAGCTATGATGTCATGTGCACATGCGTGTGTGTCTGCGTGTGTGTGTGTTTATTGCCCACCTCCTTCTGGAATCTTTCTTCTCTGAGTGGGGTTTTGCCCATCTCCTCCAGACTATCCCCTCTGCCTTGCTCTGCCTCAGGTGCATAGGAGCCCGTGATTCATAAAAGCTGGAGGACTGTTGGCCCCTGCTTGGCTGCTGGTGTGATTTCACACCAATGTGTCCCCCCAGAAATGCCCCAGAAGCCCCATATCTGTGAACATGAGCTGATTGGGGGATAGAGTCTTTGCAGATTACCGTGGATCCTATATGCAATGTCTGGTGTCCTTATATGAGGAGGGAAATTTGGACACAGAGACTGAGAGAGAAACACAGAGAAGAGACAGCCTTGGCAGAGACCAGAGAGATGTGGCCACAAGCCCAGGACGCCTGGATCCCCTCAGGAGCTGGAAGAGGCAGGAGGGACCCCCTGTAGAGTGCTCAAGGAGCCCCGCCCCACCCACACCCTGATGTCGGAATCCTGGCCCCCAGCCAGCAAGACAGTACATTCCTCTTGCTTAAAGCCACTGCGTCTGGTCACAACAGTTGTGGGAAACCAGTAAAACCCTGCCGGGTGCAGGGTCTCCGGGAACCCTCCCAGTTGCCTTTGACACTCCCACCTGATGAACTGGAGACCCGGCCCCGCAGGCAGGGCTGCCTGGTTCACACCCGCTGTCGTCCCCCCTCAGCCCCTGGGAACCCGTCTCCAGCCTTGAATCACCGAGTTCAACCTGGGAGAGGCCTCAGACCAGCTCAGGGCACCTCACCACTGGGGCAAAGGATCCGCCATAGCGGGACGGCCCTTTGAGAGGCTGCTGTGCCACTTGCAGCCTCCTGGGGCTGCTGAGGACTCCTCCTGGGAGTCAGGCTGAGTCAACTCACAGCACGGATAGAGCAACTGCGTGCAATCGTGCTTGGACTCCATGTTCACCGCTGCCCAGGTTCCATCCCCAACCAGCGCGCCCTGGAGAAGCGAGCCTCATTGCAGAAAGTTGCACGCAGCTTGGAGTGGAAAAGCTAGAGTAGCGACAGCCTCCCAATTACACGGGAGACGATCAGAACAGCATCCTTCCCCAGAGTCCTCACGGGCTCATGTTCATGGCCAGGGCCGCTGGCCCGTTCCAGAGATGAAAGCACTCCCTTTCCTGTCATGTTCTCCCCTCCCTGTAGCTGGGGCATCAGCTTCAAAACATCCGAAGGCCTTTGGGATTTGCGTCTTAGGCCTAGAAGTGGGAATGTGCAAAAGGCAGGAGGCTGTACCCCAAAGCTGGATATTCTGGTGCACAGTGTTTCCACGGGTACAGTCCTCTAACTTCCGACTCCAGAAGTTTTCAGGGTCCCAGAGCCTCCCAGGACCAACGGAGCTGCCCAGTGGAAACGGAGAGCCAGATGAAGTTACATGTTCCAGTTGCTGCATTAGAAAAGTAGAAAGACATGAACTGAATAAGGTGTTTTAGCCGACCCAGCAGATTCCAAATATCGTCATCTCAACTTGTGATCAATACGAAAAATTGTTAACGAGGTGCCTTACGTTTTGGGAGTTGTTACGCCGTTGAAGTGCAGCCTGTGTTTGACACGGCACATCTCCGTTCAGACTTGCCACATCTCAAGTGCTCTGTGGCCACATGTGGCCAGCGGCTACCATAAAGGACACAGGGGCGTTAGCCCTGCTCTAGATCTGGTGGCTCAGGCCACTGTTCTGGGAAGTGGAGCCCTTGTCCAGGAGTCGGAAGGACGGATTTAAGTCTCGTGGCTTCGTCAAGTTGTTTGCGTTCTCTGAAGGCTTGGAAGCCACAACCCGCGCCCCCCCTTGCACTGTGCTGTGACCACGCATTGGGACAGCGCAAGGAGTGGATGGCTCCAAGCACCAGAGTCCCTGTGTCGCGGTCCCCGCCCTGCCCTGCTGTAGCTGTGGGAGTCCCCACGTGGGAAAGGCTACATATTGTCAGCATGTTGTGAGGACCAGATGACAATTAGTGCAGAACCATTAGAATAGTGCCTAGCCCCAGGCAAATGCCTCGTAAACACTCTATGGCTTACAGAGGGGCTCTGCTCCATAAAGTACATCATCACACCCTTCTGGGACTCACCCGGTCCCGATCCCCTGCGCCGAGGGCCGCCTGCATCCGCCTGCACACAGAGTCAGCTCTCCCTAGGACCCTGGATCGGGGAGGGCCCCTGACCCAGGATGGCCGACAACCTCACAGGAGGGGGAACCTTGGGCCCAGAGGCCCCACGAAGATGAAGGCAGAGATCGGGGAATGATTGTGTGAGTCAGGAAGGCCGGGGATCACCCACACACCCCAGAAGCTGGGGTAAGGCCTGGGACGGAGTCGCCCTTGTGGCTTCAGAAGGGGCCACCTGCGGACACCCTGACCTCACCCTTGTGGCCTCCATGCTGTGTGAGAATTTGATCCTATTGTCTGAGCCACTCATCCCGTGGTTCTTAACTGTGGCAGCCCCAGGAAGCGGATACAGGCAGGACATCCAGAGCTGCTCGTGTCCTAGTTAGGATTTTTAGGGCCTCCGCAGGGCGGGGCGAGGTTGCTCCTCACTGGCCTTGCTGGAGAGAAGTGCAGTTTTTATTAGAGTCGCGGGAACTGTGTTACCATTCTTGGCCCCAGTCAGGGATTCCCCCCAGGAACCCTTATACCCACTGGTCACCTCACTTAGTCCCTTGATAACCTGACAGTACATGCTGTATGGCTTTAGATGGTGAGTTTAGTCTGGTGGTTCTCAAAGTATGCTCGGAGGAACCCTGGAGGGGGTTCCCTGAGGCCCGTCAGGGGAAACTGTGAGGTCATGCATTTGAGACATGCTTCCACAGTTTTTTATATCGATTCCATGTTGATAATAGAGCGAATACAACTTGGGCTAAGTATCTCAACGTTAATTTTTAGCTTTTTCTTTTTTTCCCTTTTTAATGTGGCCACTAGAAATATGTAAATTACATCTGTGGCCCACCTTTGTGGCTGGCATCCTATTTCTGAGGATTCAAAACCAGATCTGAGGATCCAGCCCTCTCCTCTCAAAGTGGATATTATAGAGATTTGTAAAAACACAAAACAACTCCACTGTTTTGGTTGCGGGGGGTTTGGGGGCTTTGTTTTGGAAAGCAGTTATTTTTCATGAAAAATATATTATTTGTATTAACCTATAAATGGGTTCACTGTTATTTTTATTTATTTATTTTTTAAAAGATTTTATTTATTTATTTGACAGACAGAGATCACAAGTAGGCAGAGAAGCAGGCAGAGAGATAGGAGGAAGCAGGCTCCCTGCTGAGCAGAGAGCCCTGTGCAAGGCTCGATCCCAGGACCCTGAGATCATGACCTGAGCTGAAGGCAGAGGCTTTAACCCGCTGAGCCACCCAGGCACCCCTCACTCTTATTTTTAAACAAATTAATAATAATAATGTTTAAAAATGAATTTATTACCTTTGCTTAATTTTTCTGTAAACCTAAAACTCCTCTGAAAAATTAAGGCTATTTAATAAGAAAAAAAATTTTTAGAGAAAAATTAGCCTTAAGGTATGAGGTATATCTAAGTACAAGATCATAATGAAGTTCTTTTTTATTTTATTTTTTTGAGTAGGCTCCATGCCCAGTGTAGTGCCCAGTGCGAGGCTTGAACTTAAGCCCTGAGATCAAGACCTGAGCTTAGATCAAGAGTCAGACGCTTAACTGACTGAGCCACCCAGGTGCCCCCAATGAAATTCTTTTTTATTTGTTTTTAAGCTTTTATTTATTTATTTGACAGAGAGATCACAAGTAGGCAGAGAGGCAATCAGAAAGAGAGGGAGAAGCAGGCTCCCTGCTGAGCAGAGAGCCCGATGAGGACCTCGATCCCAGGACCCTGGGATCATGACCTGAGCCGAAGGCAGAGGCTTTAACCCACTGAGCCACCCAGGCGCCCCTCAATGGCTTTTCTTTAACCAATGTAGAAAAAAATCCTAAAATTTATATGGAACCACAAAAGACCCTGACTGGCCAAAGGAATCATGAGAAAAAAGATCTAAGTGGTACTTCCTAATTTCAAGTTGTATTTTAAAGCAGGAATGATCAAAATAGTTTAATTCTGGGGTTAAAACAGACATACAGACCAATGGAAGAGAACTGAGAACACAGAAATAAATCAGGGATCTATGGTCAACCAGTATTTGACAAGGGATCGAAGAATACTCAGTGGAGAAAAGACAGTGTCTTTAATAGACAATGCTCAGAAAACTGGATATTCACGTGTAATAGAACGAAACCAGACCCCTATATTATGCCCCTCACAAAAATGAACTCAAAATGTATTACAGACTTAAATGTAAAACTGGAAACCATAAAACTCCTAGAAGAAAACAGGTGGTAAGCTTTTTGACCTTGGTCTTGGCAATGGTTTTTGGCGTTTTGTTTTGTTTTTTTAAATTTGACACCCAAAGCAAAAATAAACAAGTGAGACCACATCAAACTGAGAAACTTCTGCACGGCAGAAGAAACAATCTACAAAATGGAAAGTACCTACGGAGTGGGGAAAAACTATTTGCAAACTGTATATCTGTTACGGGGTTAATGTCCAAAATGTATGAAGAACTCCTACAACTGAAGAGTAAGAAACCCACAGTCTGATTAAAATATGAACAAAGGACCCAAACAGACATTTTTCCAAGGAAGACATACAAACGTCCAATGCTTATATAAAAAGGCGCTCAGCATCGCTAATGAGGGAAGTGCAAATCAAAAGCACACGAGAGGGCGCTGCTCCTCCCCATTGTTCTGGGCCAGGCGTGGCCATGGACTGGTGAGGGAGCAGCCAGAGCACTTTGGAAACCAGGCAAACTCTCGCTCACAAAAGCACACGAGATATCATCTTACACCTACTGGAATGACTCCTGTCCCAAAGACAAGATTACAAATGCTGGCGAGGACGTGTGCAACAGGGAGCCCTTCCTTGTGCGCTGTTGGTGGGATTCTCAATTGGGGCAGTCACTATGGGAAACAGTATGGAAGTTCCTGAAAGAATTAAAAATCAGAGTTACTGTATCATCCAGCAATCCCGCTCCTAGGAATATACCCAAAGCAAAGGAAAACACTATGTCACAGACACGTGTGCATCGCCATGTTCATGGCCACGTTGTCTACGAAGGCCAAGACGCAGAATCCACCTAAGTGTCCATCGACAGATGAATGGGTAGAGAAGTGGGCCTTGTATACAATGGAATATCAATGGAATATACAATGGAATATCACTCAGCCATCAAAGGGAAGGAGATCCTGCCATTTGCCACAACATGGACGGAACAGGGCATTTTGCTAAATGAAGTAAGTCAGACAAAGACAGATATTGTATGATCTCACTTATATGCAGAATCTTAAAAAAAAGAAAAAAAGCCTCATAGGAAAAGAGATTAGATTTGTGGTCAGAGGTAGGAGATAATGGGTGGGAGAATTGGAATAAGATGGTCAAAAGGTACAAATTTCTAATTATAAGATAAATAACTACAGGGAGGTAATGTACAACATGGTGATTATAGTTAACTCTTCTATATGGTGTATTTGAAAGTTATTAAGACAGTAGTAGATCCTAAGAGTTCTCAGGACAAGAAAAGAAAAAAAAATTTTTTTTGTATCTATATTAGGTGATGAATGTTAATTACGTTTATTGTAATAATTTCCCAATATATGTAATGAGTCATGCTTTACAGCTTGAGCTTCTGTGGCGCTTTATTTCAGTTATATTTTAATAAAACCGGAAAAAATATGCATGCTGAAGTATGATCTTTTGCCTCTTTCTTTTTTTTTTTTTAAAGATTTTATTTATTTATTTGTCAGAGAGAGAGAGAGAGATCACAAGTAGGCTGAGAGGCAGGCAGAGGCAGAGGGAGAAGCAGGTTCCCCGCCGAGCAAGGAGCCCGATGTGGGACTCGATCCCAGGACGCTGGAATCATGACCTGAGCTGAAGGCAGCCGCTCAACCAACTGAGCCACCCAGGCGACCCGATCTTTTGCCTCTTTCAAATGGCTTGGTAAAAAAAAAAAAAAAAAAAAAAAGTATGTGATGAAACAAAATATGGTAAAACGTTAACCACTGTTTAACCTAGTGGTGTCAATAGGAGTATTTATCTTACTATCCTTGTAACTTTTCTGTTTGAAAATTTTCTTAAGTCGGGCACACAGAAGATACATCTCCTCCATTTCACTCCATATTTAAGATGGAACGTCACGTATGATTAGGTTTGGCTGTGAGTAAGAGATCTAAAATACCAGCAGCTTTAACAAGATGGAAGCTTATTTTCTATGTGAAAGTTCACAGGTAGGTGGTTAGGCAGGTAGGTGGCTTTGCAGCACGTTGTCCTCAGGACCGAGGCTCCTTCCATCTTATTGCTCCCCAATAGGCTACTTCCCTTACTTCATGGCCCAAGACAGCTGCTCCCACTCCCGCCATCGCATCCACATTCCAGCAGGCAGAAGAAAAGGAGGTAAAGGGCACATTCCTGCTACTTTTAGGAAAAACCCCTTGAGGCCACCCCAAAACATCTCCTTGACCAAAGCTCAGTTTTGTAGCTATAAGGGAGGCCGGAAAGGCCTTCATCCTAGGCAGCCCCATAACCAGCCTAAAACTGGCCATTGGTGACTTTGAAGGACAGGAAGGGAGGAAATCCAAGAACAGTGTGTAAGCTCCGCCCTGCCACGAAAGGGCGTTTTAAACTCAGGTTATGGCCGGTGGTCTTCTCCCAGGGCTTAGCAGGAAAGATCATGAGGCAGCCGACTTCAGGGACCTCTTGTCATACACACCCAGCAAGGGAGCCAAGCTGCCCAAACAAACCCCGCTTGGAGAGAAAGCCCTGGCTCCTTGTGACCGGACCACTGTCCCTCTTCTCTGTCCCACAGTGTCGAACCTGTCCCAGTACTTCAGCCCGGCCTCGGTGGCCAACAGCCCGGCCCGAGCCCTCCTGCTGGTGGGCGTCGTCCTGCTGGCCTACTGGTTCCTGTCGCTGACCCTGGGCTTGACCTTCAGCCTCCTGCATGTGGTGTTCGGCCGCTTCTTCTGGGTGGCACGGGTCATCCTGTTCTCCATGTCCTGCGTGTACGTGCTGCACAAGTACGAGGGGGAGCCGGAGAACGCCATACTGCCCCTCTGCTTCGTGGTGGCCATCTACTTCATGACCGGGCCCATGGGCTTCTACTGGCGCAGCGGGCCCAGCGGCCCCAGCGTGGAGGAGAAGCTGGAGCACCTGGAGAACCAGGTCAGACTGCTCAACATCCGCCTCAACAAGGTTCTGGAGAGTCTGGACCGCGCCAACGGCAAGTGACAATCAGCCAGCCGGCCGGGTCCCCTCACGCCAGCGCCCTCTCTCAGAAAACAGAAGCGGAGAAGGAAGAAGAGAGCACCCAACCCCAAGCAATTTCAATAAACACTCCTGAGCACGGCGGGTGGCGCTCCGTGAGGGTCTTTCCGGCCACGTGTTGACCCCGAGGACACGTTCCCCGAGGGATGGTGGGATCGTTTGTGTGGAACTACCCACGAAGTGTCATTAGTGGGGGAGGGGGGGAAAGAATATTTTTTAAACAAAGGATATAACCGTATTAGCTGTACAGGAAGAGTTTATCTGTGCATAGAGCATAAAGTTAATTTTTTCAAGCACTTCAGTACATCTTTTGTAAGGTTTTTTAATAAAGGCGGATCGAGTCAAGTTGAATCAGACTTTACACTGAGGGGTAGGATATGCTAATTGGACACTTTCGACGAGAAGCTCCAACACTGGAATTGGGTTTCCCAGCACGGGGGTTGGTCGGGGCGGGGGGGTCTGTGTGCATGATTCTCGCGCTCCAAAACCCTGGGCTTCATCGGATGTCATTTTCGGTTGATGGCGACTTAGCGGATGGATGGTGTCTGTTCTGGGTGTGGGCAGTCGGGGTCCAGGACGAAACGAAACATCTTTTGGGTCCTAGTGGCCCCGGCCAGGCCCCTGTCAACTCTATTTCTAAAAGAAAAGATTATTCTTTGTGGAAAATCTGTTTTTTAGTTGTTTTGCTTTGTTTTGTTTCCTTCTGAACTTTGATGTATTTTAACCTCCACGTTTTGTAGAGGAAAATTCAAGGACCAGGCAAAGAAGTGTCTTTGGGGTTTGATGCTGAGAGCCATGTGAGTGAGCGCCACAGCTCCCTGCGTCAGGAGTCTGAGTGACGCCCTCATGTCGCTGTCCGCCTGCTGGACCTCTAGGGGAAGGTATGGCCTCAAGGGTTGTTGTTTTTTCCCCTGTAGTTTTGGTGGACTCGGGACCATGAAAGAAGAGCAAATCGTAGCAGCTGAGAGCATTTCCAAGTCGATGGCTGCTTCTAAGGTGTTCTCAGGAGCAATTAGCGGCAAGAAACACACCTTGGAGAAGATCCGAATTATTTTTCCTAAAATTTTTATCATCCGCGCATCAGGTGCTTTCTGTCTGAAGTCTGTGATGCCCTTGCCTTAGGTGGTGCCCCGGGACAGAGAGGAGCATACTGGGCAGACAGTGGTGGGGGGTCTTGCTGGGGTGCCTTGCGAGGCTGGGTCAGGGGTGCAGGGAAGTGCCCCAGTCTCGCACCCCCCCCAACCCCCCGGTCCTGTTGCTAAGCACCGGGGAACACACAGTGAGGAAGGGAGACTCCAGCTTTGCCAGAAGGCAGTTCTGAAGGCTGCCAAGGGTGGCAACTCCCTCCACGATCCTTCCCTGCCCAGCTCTGTGCCCCAGGGGGCCCCTCCTGGAGCCCCTGCACGCAGATTTGCAGAGACCCCTCTCAGATTGGGCAGAACCACGACCCCACGGTCCACAGAGCATTCTGGAGAAAACCCAGCTGTGCGCCAACTCTTGTGCGGAATTCCCGGGATGTTTTATTGGGGGTTGCAAATCTCTAGAAAACAAAAGCAGCTATTTTTGAGGGTGTTGGTGGAACTTCTCTTTCTAAGGTGCACATAACAGGACCCAAGCTCAGCTGCATTCAGTTCATTTCCTGGAACGCACACCTGTCCCTCTCCGGGTTGTGCTCAGGCAAGCCTTCATCCGTGGGCATCTGGAGCCTGTGGTTTTTTTGGATTGGAGGAGTTTCAGTTTTGCCATTCCGATACTTCCAGACAAATCTATCAGCACGGTGTCTAAAAAGTAACTCCAGGAAGGCTGTCCTTGCTCTCCTTCCTTTTGTGCATTTGGCTTCTGCATACTGGGCGTGCTTAGGTACTGGGTAAAACATTGGCTTTGCCGACGTTGGCCAGGGGAGAATTGGCATTCGGTGCACAAAGCTTTAAAGTCCCCCACTATCCCAGGTCTGGATAGAACCTCCACTCCGTTCCCCCTGCCCCCTTCCCACGCGAAGCCGGAAGGACACTGTGCTAATCTGTGATCTAGGCAGGAACGCCGTTGGGACCTCCAGCAAATGCTGGGAGCCTCGCGCCTCTGGGCCCCGGTTCATTGAGACTAGAAATTGCTGCGGGGAAAATGTACCCCTTTGACCCAGTGAGCCAAGACTGAGGCCGGTCTTAGAGTCTGACGCACTCAGATGAAAGATGGCTTTATCTTCAATGAAAGAACCTAGAGTTAAACAGGTGTATCACTTTAGGGCAGAAGGTCAATTTGAAATTCTGGTAGGAATCGTGGTTATTAGATCTGGATAACTCTTGCTCTTTGATGGACAACTCTTGCTCTTTGATGCCCACGTTTGCTCTTTTGTTCGGGCACGTTCGTACCTCCAGATAGTTTGGGATTTTTTTTTTCCCTTTCATGGAAGCTTGTTAGGGTACTTGGCTATTCCCAGAGCCCCCCATCTCTTTCTTTTCCCTCTCTTTTGTACATGGAAAAAAAATGTATTTTTGTACCATAGCTCATACCTGGAAGCGAAACCCTTTTTTTATGTCTCCCAGGGCGTAGAATATATTAGTACACACTTCCTTCCATGTGACGTAACCAATCCCGATGAGAACTACTGTGAATGGGTGGTCATGACGACTCCGTTTTCTAGATCTCTTAAAGTTCATCAGTGTTTATTTCCCAGTGCCTCAGTGTCCCGACACACACCAAGAACAGAAAAGAGAAAGGACCAGCTCTCTCTAACTGGCTGGATTTGTGCGGCAGCTCTGGAGTCGGTGTTGACAATGATCTCTTCCTCAGCATGCTAGACAAGGTGTTTCTGCGGCACTCCAGCCTTCCATCCATACATTCCCCATAGCGATCAGGAGTGGGGTCATCTGCCTTCCGGGGGCTTGGGGCTGTTTCAGCGATACCCCATATCACTTCTGGTAAAAAAGTGAAGCCATAGAATTTTTCGGAAGCTGGTCTTGTGCATCGATCGTGCCGGGATCTTTATTGATGAAGGTGACGGGGTGACTGGCAAGGGAGGCGAATACCATTGAAAGACGGTTTGTCACACAGTTCCCTAAAGCCAATGGGCACCGCGTGCTGTGAAAGGCCCCCCGAAGCCCGTCAAGTGCAGGGTCAGGAAGCGGAGAGGGGGGTCTGTGCTTGATGACTGTGGTGGTGGCAGGTGACCAGACTTGAATGTCCCTTCCTGGGAGCCAAGGGCAAACGTACAGGGTCAGGGTCAGTGTCTGGGGGGATTATACTAGGACTTGGCACAGCCCTGAGGGCTGGCTCAGTGGGGAAGATGCAAACCTAGTCGGCTGCTAGGTCTGTCTCTGGCGTGCAGCCTTAGGGAACGGTGAGGAATAAGGTCACATAGCCAGTGCGGCACCGAAAACACAGTGAATGCAGCCTGTCCCGGTGGCAGTCCCAAGACCCTTCATTTCTACGCCTCTTGCTGCTTTTTAAGCTGCTCTACCTGACTGACAGCTGATCACCCCTCCGTGATGGGGTTTGAATTGTCTGACTTAACCCAAAAGTCGGCTCATGTTAGGACTTTCTAAGGCCCTAAGATGTCATCTCCCTTCCCCAACTTAAAAAAAAAAAGTATATATATATATGTGTGTGTGTGTGTGTGTGTGTGTGTGTGTGTGTGTGTGTGTGTATACATATATATGTGTGTGTGTATACATATATATACATATATACACACACAATTATATAGACACATATATACATATATACATATATACACACACAATTATGTATACACATATATACATATATATATATATATATCTCCATTCTGCAAAGTTTTGTCATCTGAATAATTGGACTTTTGCTCCTCACTTGTGAATAGTGAATAGAATTATACATATATATTTTGGCAGGATCTAACATAGTACCCTTAAAATTAGTACTGGACAGCCATCGAGATGATGTACAATATTTGGTGTAAACAAACTGTTCAGCGCGCTGAATTCTGCGCTTTCCTCCTCGATGATTCCCCAATTTGCAGGCGATGCGCCAGGACCGGTTTTTCCACCGCGGTGGCATAAAAAGCTGAATGTCATTTGCACCGTCTACTGAAAACCTGTGGCAGCTAATGGTGTCATTGACCCTCTGTTCCAATGTCTTTTAGTAGATTTAAAGGTTTTGTTATAGTGTCAGCTCTAATATTCGCATGTGTGTTAAATCTCTGGATACCGTGTAATTAAATTGATTTCTTGTGATGGTAACAGTGATTAGCGCTCACTTAAAATCCGGCAAAGCGACTATTTCCCCTCTTAACTGGAAATCATATTTGTAAGGTATGGTGTCCATTATCGACAGTGTATTCATGATTCAGTTTCTATTTTGTGTATCTGGTTATAAATTTTCTATAGCATTTGATTTCACACTTATTCTAAATCCATTTGATTTGAATATGGTGGTGTGTGTGTGTGTGTATGTGACGTGTGCACACTTTAGTTCCATAAGCCTTGGGAAAACTGATTCTGTGACTATCAAATATAGACATAAATATATAAGGCTTATTTTATTTGCAAAATGGTACTTACATTCCTCCTATTTATTAAATCACTGGCTTTCATGTTCTGTAGAGATATTTGTAGACCGATTTCAGAACAGAATGAAAATATTGTGAAAATTACAGCTTAATAAATGTTTATTGTAATTTTGTTGTACGGGCTTCTTAAATATGTTTCCTTCCTTCTGACCAAGCATTTGTGGAGACTTCCCCAGTTTTGACATGTCGTGGTGATTTATGATTCTATTCCCCAGTCCAAGAGGAGTCCAATAATCTTGATATGTTCAGTTGGAGGGAGGGTGACCAGATAAAAGACAGACACACCCAATTAAATGTGAATTTCAGGTAAGCAACAGATACTTTTTATAAGTATATCCCAAACATGGCAGAAGATACACTTACGCTTAAAGAAGTATTTGTTGCTTATCCAAAACTCAGATGTAACCGGGAATCCTGGATTTTTGTTTGTAAGTTCCGGCAACCCAAACTGGGTTTTGCAACAGATGTATACCCCTCCATCCCATCCTGAACCAAGATGCTTTTGTGGGCACTAAACATTATGTCCTTAGCAAATATTCAGGAGCAAATGTAATAGAAGAGTCCAGTTAAATACACTTACGACTCAAAAGTACTGCTCCTGGGTGGGAGGGTGTGCTATTTGGAGGGTGGGTGGCCCACCCCTGGGAGAGAGAGCGGCCTAGAGGCGGGGACCCCACACCGTGGGAGGACAGCGCAGCTGTGCATAGACTCAAGCAGCAGCGCTGGGAGACGAAGTAGAAACCCCAGGGAGATATGAAAGCATTGTCCATTTGAGTGAATTAAATACATGTGATTGACCGTTTTGCAAGAGCACATCTGGAAAAAAAAAAAAAAAAGATGGGGTGAAGCAGTTGGTGGGAACGGAGGGTTGGAGCAGGTCTCCCAGGATCTGGGAGAACATTAACTGAAACGAGGTGTTGTCGGGTGAGGCTGTGCCGGGCTGAGGAGTGTGATTCGACAGAGCAACGGACGGAGGGCACAGGTGCACCTGCCTGCCCCCCCCCCCCGCCTCGGTATACCGTCTCCACTTCCGCTCTCCCTTCTGCCAAAAGCAGAAGGGAGAGCGGAAGTGGAGACGTAAAGTCTGATCACTTCGGGTATATTTCTGTACCTGTGAAAACATGGCCCCCATCAAGAAAAGAGGCACGTCCCCCACCCCCAAAGTCCCTTCTGTCGCTGCCTCTGAACCTCCCCGCTCTCCCCCTCGCTCTCTCCGGTTCCCAAGCAACCCCTGATGGTTCTCTGTCCCTACGCATTTGCTTGCATTTTCTAGCATTTTACATAAATGGAATCAAACAGCAGGTGCCTGCTTTTCCACCCTGGTCTGTTTGACTCAGCATAATTATTTTGAAATTCATCCAGGTTGGGTGTGTGGGTAACTCGCTCCCTTTTATTGCTGGGTCGTATTCCACGGCATGAATGTACTTCCGTGTCTCTGTTCACCTGCTGATGCCCTTGGGCTGTTTGCAATTTGAGGCCATTACAAGTAAAGCTACCGTGGACATGTGCAGATCTTTGTATGAGCATTTCCTTTCGTTTGTCTTAGGTAAACCCTTAGGGGCCGAATGGCTGGGTCCTATAATAGGCATATGTTTTGTTTGCTAAAAAACTGTTTTCTGAGGTGTTCGTACCCACATTCTCCCCAGCTGCGTATGAGAATTCTACTTCCTCTACATCCCACCAATACTTGGTGTGGTCAGTTTTTTCTCAAAACAAAACAAAATTCATTTCCTGAAATGTATCATCTCACTTGAAGCTGGTCATCTTCAATTATCCCATCATAAACCAGTAATAGGACATAAAGTGTTTCCCTGTGTTCTTGAGCCAGTGTAGCACATCACTGAACCCCAGGAGACAGTCAGGGAACCTCTGATTTGTTACCAAATGGAAAAGAAGTGAGGGCAACCCCAGGGCCTTTGAACTTGGGATTGACGTCTGAAGGCAAGGGATGGTTTTGTGGGACTCCGCTCTTAGTCCGTGGGGTCTGCCCCGATTCTGGGTAGCGAGGGTCAGAATTGCTGAATGCGAGGGAAAACCCACGTTTGGTGGAAGAGTGTTGGGAACAGAGAAATGGCTTTCCTTTAGATAAATTTTCAGGACCAAGAGCACCACAGGTTGCTGTAGGAGGTGATGAGAGAGGAGTGGTGGCTAAATGTTCCCCCACCAATGACAGCCGTCACTGTAAACTAAGAGCCTTCTGTGTCTGTCTCCCCTGGGCTCTACCTGCCCCAGCTTGCTGGAATTACACAACCAGGCTGCTAAGAAGGGGTTATCTTGGTTAATGAAAAGGGGAACACCCGGGGCTCAGAGAGGTTGAAAAACATTGCCCAAGGTCAAATGGCCAGTCCTGGGGGAACCTGAGTGAGAGCCCAGTCTTTCAGGCTACCTCCCTACAGGCAGAAGTCACTCCAGTCACTCCTCCTGGAGAAGCTGTAGCTTTCATGGGGGTGGGGGGTTTGTGTGATTTTGTTTTTTCAACTTGCATCAACGGAGATATTCATTGATGACCCTAAGAAAACAATGACTACAAATCCTAACAATCAAAAAAACAAAAACAAAACCAAAAACAAACCCTCAAGGGGTGCATGGCTGGCTTGGTTGGTGGAGCATGTGACGCTTGATCTCCACATGAGGGTAGAGATTCCTTTAAAAAAAAAAAAAACAAAACCCAAACCCAATTAACCAGCATCTTCTCTACTCTGAAGGTGACAGCTGGGAGCAAGGATCAACAGCATTTCTTTCACGGCTTATTGGATTTAAACAAAATTTAAGCCTCACAGCGAATTCCCGTTTTGTGCGTGGGCCCAGAGAGGTTAAGTTACTGGCATAAAGTGGCACAGTAAGGGAGGGTGGGGAGCCGGGACTGAAGCCCGGGGTCTCCGATTCCATGTCCAGTGTCCCTGCACGCCGCCCGTGGAGGCATGGAGAGCCCCTTCTGTTCTATCAGCGTTTACACGGAGCAGTCTTTCCTCCCGACAGCTTGAGAATTTGCAGATACGTGCCTTTGGAGATTCTCCTGTCTCGAGCCGCGCTGGGAAAGCCGGAGCTTCACTTAACGCTTACAGGTTATTACACGTGCAGGAGAATTCCCAGCTTGGACTGGTATCTTCTGGATATGTTTGTTTTTCAGGGGTCTCAGGATTCCCTATTCCATTCAAAGAGGCCATTGTTTTCCTAGGACTTAAGATCTTGTCGCAGGGAGAGTGAAATCGTTTTTTGCCTCAGGAATCAGACAAAACCAATTGTGTTCTTATCAACTTAGATTTCAAAAAGACTTGCAGTGTTGCCTCCCTTTGTTTCCACATCCTTTTCTTGTATGGCTTAGAACACCCTGTGTGAATTGTGTAAAATCATTCGAATGTTACCCTCACATGCCTATGAATATATATATAAATACATATATTATTTTATTTCATTTTAGGATGGAGGAGCCCTCCGTTGGAGGCTTGGAAATAGTTCATTCACTCCTTGGGATAGGCCTGCAGTCCTGAGTGTGGTCTGAGTTCCTCTAGTAACATAAAATACTATTAATAATTAGTCATTTGCATTTTCTACTTTCACTGTGTCACGAACATGCAAAGGGGTTTTCCAGGGGGTACCAGCTAGGGTAGTGTAACTGATGAGTGGTGACACGGGCATGGAGCCAGCAGTCTTTGATTAAGATAGACTTTGAGATTAGCAGATTGTAGACCAATGCCCCTCTTCCGGTTTTTTCCCCCCCAAAATATAGGTATTTTTCATACAAATACGTTGTTTATGGTAGTGTGCTCTGGGTTTAGCACTGTTATTTTATTTTCTAGAGTGGGGGAGGGGCAGAAGGAGAGGGGAGAGCGAGAATCTGAAGCCAACCCCACACCCAGCAGGGAGCCTACACCGGGCTCGCTCTCGAGACCCTGACATTGTGACCTGAGCCGACACCAAGACTCAGACACTCAACCGACCGAGCCAGATAAGCACGGCTACCATTGTTATTTTTAAATTAATGCATGTATTGGTTGGTTTCTCACTTTTTATTTTTAATTTTGTGAAATTATTTCTAACTTTATTGTTAATCTTTATGG